ACCTCCTCGAGTACGAGCGCGAGTAAGATATTGAACGTCTCTCGTATGGATCTACTGTATTCACCTATTCCCTCGCCTCGGCTGGTGACAAGGATAAGAACTAGACAGCTTCACTCCTGGCTTTTCAACTAACTGGCCAGGAGAGTTTACTTATGACTTCCTTAGGACTGCAGGCTTGCTTAGTCACCTCCTTAACTCATAGAATGCTTGAAAACTATCTTAACTGATCTGATTGTGACTTGCTTTCCAAAACCAAAACAGGATAACTCAAAGGCTTGATCACGGGATTTGACTTCCTGCTAAGAATCCTGCTGTATAACCCCACCTATAGGTAACCTATCACTCCAACTTACAGGGCTTACCTTCAGTGTAACGACCTAGAAGGAAACTGGTCTAGAAAATGACTATTAGTTAGACGGAATAGTCATTTCATTGAAACTATTACGAGGACTGTACTAGAACAGGCTCCCATGGAACACAACTACACCTCGGCTTGCCTCTCAGTTGAAAGATGAAGTTTCACTGGTCACATACGACATTTCCTGCTGCCTTTTTTTCAACAAACATAAGTGGTTTAGAAAGGCGAGGATAAGCAGGTATGGGATAATAGTCGATCAGGTATGACAGAGGTCTAACTGCCCCGCAGGGGGAAAGAAAATGAATCTATTGAACTCACACTAAGCAATAAGTCTTATACCTCTTACTTACAGAGAGTGAAGTGAACCATTTGTCCTATGGTTCACGAACGATAAGAAGAGTGACTTTCTCTTCTCTCAGTTCCTCTCTTCCTTTCTTTAAAATGAAATTTCACATCCCCTGTATTCTTTTCTTATCCCTGAGTCTTTGATCAAGGAGTGGCTCACTGCCCAAAACTGCCATGGAATGGAGTTTTTTTGTAGGAGTCTTCGGATTTAGGAGTAAGCGTAGGTCGAAATTTCTTTTCTTCCTCAGTTGTCGAGGAGTCCGCCTTTAACGAAGAGGAATGAGCTCCCCTTAGCAGACCTGTTAGATAGGAGCCCTTTTCTCCAAGAGCAGGTTTTTCTTGCTCACTCGGTAACTCGATTCGGGGATGGTATCGGAGAAAGTATTGAGAACTTTCTATCTCCTCTTTTTCAGTCAGGGAATTTCCACTCTTTGAATCTGTAGCGCAACGAGGTCTCAACGAAAGGAGCTAAGGAGCGACTAAAAAAAAAACCTCACTCGAGGAAAGGAGTAAGCTAGATTCAACAGTCAAGATGGATTTGATGAGTTTATCCACTCTGGGCTGGGAATATCTTTCCCCGCGCGAGAAGATAAGGTATTGATGTCTACTGAATGAACTTGGCTGATTGTGGGTCTGCGACTATAGCCTTTTCGGGGAAAGCAGGAATTGGGATTGCTTACGTATTTAGCTCTTTGTTTAGTTCCTTAGTCTTCCTACGACTTGGGGAAGCTGTTCGGATATGCTATTCTTGCCTTTGCCTTAACCGTTCGCGCGTCGATGATGTCCCTATTTTTCTTTCTTTTTGTTCTGACTGGCAACTGCCTAGCATTCAAGGCTCTTTTTCTTTAGTTAGGGTCGTTAGTTAGGACCATTGGCAATCAAGGATGGATTCTCTTTAGTCTTCTTTTCGGCAACCTCGGGGCTGGAATCTCATCTCTCTGGAGGCGGCAAAACTAATGGAGCTGTGGCGCAGCATAGAAAGAATGGAATAACGATATCTTTTTTTGTTCCACTTAAAATTTATTTCGCTGCGATTAGAAAAAAGATTGCTCGAGTCCTGTACAAGCACAGCTATTGCTGCTTGAAAGGACGCAAGAAAGATAGCACTGCCTGCCTACCGAGCTAGGTGAAATCCATCTTTTCTTCTCGATTTCTTCAAGACCTATCATGACGTAATGCCAGTAAAGAAGTAGGAGCAGATGAAATTCCTTTTTTTTTTGCTCACAGGCCCTATCTCTATTTCTTCTCTACCTTGGGTAAAGAGGCTCGCGCACACCAGGGAAGAAACTGCTCTTTGAAGGCTCACTCCGATCTTGAATCCCGAGAGGGATTTGAACCCGCATCTTTCCCACCCAGAGCTAGAATGACTTACCATTAGTCGACCGTGATCAGGTTTGCCTTCCTGCTTTTCCGCAAGGAAGACAGAGTCAAGCGACCTTATCCCACATAGCTCCGGACATTTCTGCCGCGCCTGGGCATCCCGAAGAGATACTACCAGACAGGCAGGCTTAACCTGTTGAGCGGAGTTGTGACAATTCATAGAAACAAATGCGTCCTCGGCCTTCTTTGATGTTGAATTAGACTTTGTAGTACCTACTTTCACCTGAGAGAAGGAATTGAGATCCCCTGTGCTGCTTATGTTGCAATCCAAAAGATCCGCGTCATTGAAATCCACTTCTTGGTTCGTCTTAGGGGGCGATACGATTTGGAATTATACGTCTTCTTTTACTAGGATTCTTAGTTGACGCTGATGGTTTAGCCACGTGGCTAGCTTTGAAACCACTTGTCTCCCTCTTCTCAAAGGTTGCTCCAGAAAATAGAAATCCTGATGTCGGGTGCCGGTATAGACTTGATCCAGTTACGCAAGGTCTGGCATGTGTCCTTGAGTCCTCTTCTGCCACGTGTCGCAGGGCAGCAAACCTAGAAAAAAGGATCCGTATCCGAGAGAGTACTCCTGCTAGCACTGAGTGTCTTCTTTCCACTAGGCTGAAATACGGCTTCTTCTTTCTCACCCGTGCGCACGCATCTCGCTTCTTGCTCCCTGACCCATACGGCCTTTCTGGGTTTGGCCACGTTCCCTTTCTGAAGTCCGTCAAGGCTATCCGCTTCCGAGCTGGACAACCTTTAGGGTATTACGCCTCTTGGCCTCTCTTCACACTTACACACCACTTAGTGGTGATGTACTGTGCTTCGAAGGTGATAGCCAGAGAGACTCAGACCTAGGAAGGAAATCCAATAACTTACTCAATAAAGGAAGGCGGGACATATCCTACCTCCAAAAGGAAACTCCCATAGGTTCCCAGGGATAAGCAACTGCTACAGAAACTATATCAATGATAGTGGAAACTCGCACTTACGTTTCAACCCATCCTAGAATGCTCTTACGCTACCGTTCGCTACGCACCTAAGATGCCCAGGTCTTTTTTTCGCATAACCAAAGACGAGACTAGAGCGGCTCTTGAGGAGAAGTGAGTGGGAAGTTCACTTTGGTAGCTTAGCGTACCTACTCTTCCGGACCCATCAGAAGAGAGCTTCATAGGCGAGAAGCTCACATCCGGCTCCATAGAAGGAAAGATCAGAGTCATCTTATCTTGCTTCCTAGAAGCCCCCCAGGTATTACTTAAGCTCTTAACGATGCTTTGAATAGCAATCTTTCGTACCCCATTCAATAGACTTGCTGGGAAAGCTTAATAGAGTGTCCAACCAATCACGACAAGCAGCCCTGCACTAAGCAAGTCGTAGTCCCAGCTTTTTTTCTCCTTCGATAGAGTTGGATTGGAAGAGTCAGCCTGCGGGGTAATTTTCACGTGTGCGCATTATTTAAGATTAGTCTGTCTTTTCTGGAGTAAGAAATCCAATTCGAGCTAAGCTAAGTAAACTTAGCTTGGGTTTAAGAGCTCCTTAGATATGGCTTACTTACTTATATGATGCGTGGGAAGAAAAGAGATGCGTGCCGGAGGTCGAAGCCTTCTATCAATCGCATGCAGGTCTATCATCTTTAGGCAGTCGCATACTCGAGTGGATTGCCCTATGTATCAGACCAAGAACCGAATTTCCCAATTCAAACCATGGCAAGACAAAGACCGATGATCTACAAAGAGGATTGCCGCACAATTCAAGAGTTGGTTGATCGTGTTGACAGGGTAGACCGTCAACTCAAGCATCGTTACGTGCCCTCATTTACATCCTCAAAGGATCCAGAATCAGTTGATCGTCTGTATAGTATAAATGGGGGCCCTATTTCGGGAATGAAAGGGGAACTCAGTGAATAATCAACAATCCTAAACCCACTAGCAGGTAACCTACTCACTTCTTTTTGCACTAGGTACAAAAAGCCCAATCCCACTCGGGGATGGTATCGGCCAGACGCATAATTCATTGATTGGGTGGATAGGTTGGAACCTAAATGAGAAAAACTTTGGATGGACCATAGGCCTGATGCTAGGAAGCAAGAAGCTAGGAGAGTTTAGTTCTCGAGCATTAGAAGAAAGCAAAGTCAACCTAAATGAAAGGCTTCGGGGATGGCGCATTACCCTCCTTTATTTAAGTTGATTTGACTACTCTTTCCCGCATTCTTTCATTTCTTTCGTATAGGGAGTTGATTAAGTTTACTGTTTTCCCTACTCTATAAGAAAGTTCCTTCAGCGGTCTAAGCTTCTCTGCCTGCTTTGCATTACGTATATCAGTCGATTCGGTAATCATTCCGTCTTCATCCCGTAAGGATTCGAAGTAGTGTCTCAGTGTAACCGGCCCCGCAGGTTAGAAATCCTCTAAGAGTCCCGCAGGTAACCCCGTAGGCTAACTTATCCCTCCGCATATTCGTGGAAGCGAGGGCCTTTTCTTTTCTAGCTTTGCCCCTCATCAAGGATTTCTTCCTCTTATCGCTTCCTTGATGAAGCAGCAGCCTTTGCCACATTACCCTAGCATACACCTTTGATGGCTAGCTCTCTCCTCGTGCAAGCCTTCTATTAGCAGTTCAACCTGTACCTGACTTGCGAATCGGTAATTGCCTAATTTGCTATTCCTTCTTTTCTTCCATGAGGAAGCGGAGAGGTAGCGTGTAGGTTTTACTAATGCAACTAGTCGGCCTTCAGGTAATCCATTCTCGTGTAAGAACCCCTAAGTTCAACCTGTACCTGACTTGCGAATCGGTAATTGCCTAATTCGCTATTCCTTCTTTTCTTCCATGAGGAAGCGGAGCCGTAGCGTGTAGGTTTTACTAATGCAACTAGTCGGCCTCCAGGTAATCCATTCTCGTGTAAGAGCCCCTAGTGGCTCGGCTTGGGCTCGCCCCCCTCCCGCTGCGGCTCGCGGTACGTCCCTTTAGCTATAGGCGTGTCCAATCCGATAATAGTCCGCTCCACATAGTGCAAGGACCCTCGTATGAAACCCCACCGAGCTTCCTGGCACTATGTGGAACGGACTATTATCGGATTGGACACGCCTATAGCTAAAGGAACGTACAGCGAGCCGCAGCGGGAGGGAGGCCAATGTCCCGTCAGATACCACGGCCCACGGGCAAGCCAGCGACCTTCACCTCCCGCAAGTCCCTTCGGTCTCCTTTAGCTCTGGTGGGCGTGGTTCTGTAGTTCTTCTGGCCTTCCTTCATGTCGTAGCCTTAGCTTATCGACGGGTCTTGCAATACATACAATACAGCATTTTCTTTGACTCATGCCTTGGAGAAGAACGTTCTTTGTTTGAGTTTGAAGTCGTTACCTTGCGGGAGCCACCTGGGCGAGACCCTTCTCTCCTTTTTTATTTCCATCCGGTATGTTGAATCACTTGTGAAGTCGACTTTACTTGACCGTGTCTGCTTCAACTTCACCCTAGACTCGTGTCGTGTAGCAAGACTAACAAGTGGTCGAGTGAATTTATGAACGAACGAGCAACTATTATAAAAAAAGCAATACCTTTCTTATTTTTTTATTCTTCCTTGGCCGTGTGGAACATGGATTAGCATTATGTCATTCCTACAAGTGATCACCCATCCAGGATTTGAAGAAGAAGCGCCATATGAGGACTTCGAGATCAAATATAAGATGTTTCTTTCCATTCCTCGTGAGCCACTTATTTCTCCGAAACAAGAGAGAAAAGTGATTTTCCTCCTTTTTCCCAATAAGTCGACGGCGTTACACCATTGGGATACTTCGAATAAACTAGAGTACATATAGGATACACCGGTGCTAAAACCTTTTCTAAAGATATCTTCCAAACTCTTGGGGTCGTTGCTCCGGATTTGGTTCCCCCGGTTTGAAACCAGTTGGTTCCGTAGTTTTAGAATTCTGCTGATCCCAAGTACTCCATCTCCATCATTGCATATGGGAATATAAAAAGTAAAGAGGAAAAGGCATGACCAGAAGAATTGTGTGAAATAAGTGAATTTATCCAGTTGAGGCATGATTGATTGAGAAAGAATGACTCCCTCCGGACAGAAAGAGAGTCCGGAGTCTTGAAGAATTCATTCGATTGAGTTGTGGTTGGTTGTTGACCAAAAAAGACATGGGAAAAGGAAAGCACTCACTGAGTTACTTACGAATCAGAAAGATTGAGGCTGACTACGGCCTCAGATGATTAGGCGGGGACAGGATTCGAACCTGCAATCTTCAGGTCATGAGCCTGATGAGTTGACCAATTCCTCTACCCCGCTTCTTCCCTCTTGAAACTGAAAACATATAGATTAGCAAATGAGACTGCCCACACTGAAGACCAACCCAATCTCGATGAAAAGAAACGCCTACCCCGGACCCTGACGTGAACGAAGCTCCAATGAGTCGCTCCTCGCTGGAATGAGGGCCGGACCGTCAATTCATCTACTCACTACCTACGCAATAACCGATCCTCGGACGGAGCCATACCTGTGTTACCAAAACTTGCTAGCCGACACCGGCTACCGCAAAGGGTTCAGTTGGTGGGTTGAAATCTCGTCACTTCTTTTGAAAGTCAAAAACGGAGTTTGGTTGCTCGTTCTAGTGCTGAAGCAGAATACAGGGCGGACGCGAAGGCCCCAGGCCGGGATTTTCCCCTAACTAAAGAGTAACACACTTGGAGAGGGGATTTCCTTCCATTCATAAGCCCGAGTATCACGATCCCCAAAAAGTAGCCCGAAGTGACTGACCATATAGTTTCGTTTTTTTTTCCCTTTTCCAGAGACGAGAGAAGTAGCAACCGTGGACCTAGCTCACAGAAGAAGGGGACTAGTTGCGACAGGAAAGAGGGAACATGGTGTTGTGCTTCTTACCTATGATGATTCTGCATTTGCCCGGTCAAGCTTCTTACTGGCAGGCGAGACCGATCGATTGAAGTTACGGTTCATAGCTAAACCCCGAAGCGAAGTAAGCTGGAGCTTCGAGGTCATAAGCCCATCTGCGATTCCCTCACTCGCTAGCAACCAAACCAAATGGAAATTCTGCGATTCCCTTCTCTTCCGGTTAGCAACTAACTGGCTCTCGTACTCGGTACTCTATCCTCTTCCCATTGAATTCTATTACATGACCACATTGAATAGGCTAGGAAAGGAATCTTAGTTAGGAGAACAACCCTTTTCTTTTAGTTTATAATAGCAATGGTAAGTCCACTTTGCTACAGAATGCCCTTACCTTTAGTAAACCACCAAGACCTTACCCGCCTGAATGGAATTCATATATCCTTCGTCTGGTCGAGAAGGGAGAGGTACCGTACTTTCTCCTTACCAGTCGAGATACTGCCTAGCCTTGTACGCATTGGAGGGGGCATATAGATGCCAAACCTTCTTTGTGATAGACGCGTCTGTCCTGGGTTGGCTGGACGAGGCCTTGGGAGAGCTGGATTGGCGGTTTGATCTGGGTGGAGCAACTTTTTTTCCTTTTGTCATCTTTGACGGCTCCCTAGGCGAGGCTTTTGAAGTCCCAGTGATAGAAATGCTAAACAATAAGCTCCTTAGAAGGACGGGTGGAAGAGCCATTCGTTTCTATCGGATAGACCTTTACTCTCGATAGACCGATCGAAGACTGACGGCAGACCGAAGAGAGCAAGCCAGTGGCAGAAATAAGTGGAATCGATGGCTTTTTTAAGGAAAATCAACGAGAGTCCTTTTTACTTTGATTAGGCCAGGACTCATCTCGATTGCCCGATTCCTTTTGATTTCAAAGCAAGCTTCGATCTTTTAACTGATAGAAGGATTGGGATATGATTCACGAATGAACCCCACCAACTCATTCCCATCGATCCACAGCTGGTACTTTCCAGTTGATTGATCCCAATCATTGTCCCCAGTTCGGTTTTCCGCTGTATCAGATGGATCCCGCACCAATCCTTCCCTTTGTTTCACTCCGAAGAGGGACAGTGAAGTGCCTTTAACTCACCTCTGATGCAGCACCACCCCTTTTTTCTTGTACTAAATTACTATAGAATGGATGCCCATGACGTACTTCGTACGAACTCTCATCAAGCAGGTGGCGGGCTTTATCGCCATTTTCGGACGTATCAAGGATACCCTTTTTCATCGAATATCTTCTGTGACTAAATGCGAAGTGAATCAGATTCTAGGCAATCAGATGAGTGGAAATCCGATTTCGGTAAGACTCGATCTGAATCGCAATCTGGTTCTGGTCCGAATTTCGATCGTTGTCTTTTTACTTATTTCAGTATTAACCCGATGCTATTTGTTCGGTGGCCCGGATTGGAGTGGGGGTCAAACTTAAATCAATGCTCCTTTTGAAATCTTTCCGCTTACTCCTTTTTCGACTTGTGGGTTGGGAATGTCTCGGTCCCGTCTTGCTTCTTCTTTGTGTGGTTTCGGGCGGGTATCCCCTTTCAATGGAGGATCCCGCAGGAGGTCAACCTGCTGCCAATCCTGCAGAGGAACGTGAATCCTCAACCTTTTCCGAAGCGAGCGTGAATCAGCAGCCTGTGATTCCCGAACTGGAACCTACGCTTCTCGATGAGAACACCCGGCGAGCAGAGCTCGCTCTTCGATTGAGGTCGAATTGGTGGGGGATAGCTTATAACGAGCGAATCCTCGACTCCTTCGTCCGGAGTCAACTGGCCATAGAAAGGCATATTGAGGCCGCACTTGTGGCGGACGGGTATTCCCCTCAAGTTGTCTTGGAAAGAAGACATCTGATTCGGGGCTTTCTTTTCTATCCGGAGGGGCGTGCTATTTGTTTGCATCCACTAGTTTGTAAGGGATTCAATGCAGACTTTGATGGGGATCAAATGGCCGTTCATGTGCCTTTATCTTTAGAAGCTCAAGCAGAAGCTCGTTTACTTATGTTTTATCATACGAACCTCTTGTCTCCGGCTATTGGGGATCCAATTTCCGTACCAACTCAAGATATGCTTATTGGACTTTACATATTAACGAGCGGTAATCGTCGAGGTATTTATTCAAATAGGTATAATCCACGGAATTGCAGAAATTTTAAAAATGAAAGAATTCGAAATAATAACTATAAGTATACGAAAAAAAAAGAACCTAACATCTTAAGATCGGACGACGGAGTTGAACTCCTTTAAGTTTGAGGATGGATTCTCTATGAATAGAAAGAGAGGACTTTTCTATCTAAACTTTAGGTTGCCACCCTCAGGAAAATGGTAGGCTAATCCATTTTATTAAAGTTATGCCAATTGAAACTCGTACCAAAAAGGGAAGGCAGGAGCGGTATAAATAAATAAAAGGAGAAAGCCTAAAGTCTATCTTTCTCTTTCTCGATAACGGCCTTTTAAGAAAGCAGTTGGAATCCACAAAAGAAGACAGAAAACATGAAGTAAGGGGAAAGAGGGGAACCTAGGGAACGTAACCTTTGCCCCAGACTCGATGAGAGGTTTAGGCTTACTTTCCCGAGGTTTCTGCGCTAGCTAGAAGCAGAAACTCTTAAGTAAGGCCAGCTGTAAACAAAAGATTCGTGGTTATACCAATCCCATCGGTCGTAGTTCATACTCTACCAGCTAACAGGAAGTAGAACGAGAACTCTTAAAAGCGCATCAAGAAGGAAAGGAGTTCACAGAAAGGTTGATCGGTACTACTGGAATTATCCCTTAAGGGAGTAAACAAGTATTTCAACTGGTTCCGTCTCCCATATTAGATATAAGATAGGTATAGCCTCATCCATGTGAGTCTTCAATTAGCTCCTCTAACTGAAATAGAGTGAAAGGAGAAGGCTTCAGAGTAGCAAGCAAAGAAGCCAGTCAGTGGTTCTTAGAGGGTAATAAGACCGTCAGCAGGTCACAAGCGAAAGTAAGAGAATCGGATGTGGGACGAGGGAGGATATAAAGTCTAGAATTAGCTCTAAGATATCCCGAAAGAAAGGCAAGATAGTAGCACGATTGCTAGCACCAATTCCTTCTCGTGTGCCAGGCAGGGGATAGAGTCTTGTCTTCCTTCTACGATTCCGAACTTTGTCCTAAGAGCGGATTCGTTCAAAGACAGGAAAGACAGTTTAGAAAGCAGAGACAGAAACTGGGACAGGATTACTACTGGCTTTCAAGCGGCGTGACTCACTGTGATTGGAATCCGACTTCCTTGTGACCCGCTTACTTGCTTATGTTGTACCTCTTCCTTTGCTAACTCCGCCTGTACTTGAGCATTAACTAATCTATCACTTCCCTCCTATCTCTTAAAGCTTTTCCACTTGCCAGTTCCCCTGACCACCCGGACGACCCGGAAAGAGATTGACTTTGCAAACTTTCACTGAACTAACCTGTCTTTTCTCTCTGATCGAACGCTTTCACTAGAGAAAGAGAGTAAGAAGGTCGCTAGCAGCTTCCATAGCTGTCTGGGATAGGCCACAAAGGGAAGCAGAAGGGGATTCATGGAGTCAATAGACTGTTCGGAAGTAACTGATCCCATATTAGCATTAGTAAGGGTCGCGGTGGCTGAACCTAACAGAGAACTTAGCTTTTCCCGGATAGAAATAAAAGTCTATTCTTAGAGTATAGTCCAAGGGGAAACCAAAGGAAAACGAAAGCAGGACTAGTGAAAATGACAGGAAGCACTATGGACTTTAGCAGGAGTCTTGAAAGCATCTTTTAAGTAAGTTCCTTGGCAGGCGAATTATAGTCCCACCTAAAGCATTAGCCTTTTAGAGTTGCTGTCCTTATCTCTTCCCCAAGGATATTTCCATAAGCTTATTTCCTGTACTAAGTATACTCGGTTCGGAGCGAGCTTGCATATGTAAGTAAAGAGAACCATTGAAAAAAGCATTTCCCTATAAGGAGGTAGTTGTTCCTTTTGTATACCTCCGGGTATAAAGGTAAGATCTCTCACGTGTCACTATTAATATAATAAGGACGACCTGAAGGTAACCCGATCAGAATCCTACGAGATACGGAATCTTGCTTACGAACCGAAACGATAGTGAATCTAAGTTTGTGTGCAAAAAACTCAATGAGATTGGATATGAATTGTGCCTGCTCTAGAGGGCGGGTATTCCCCTTAGGCGGGAAAGACAAAAGCAGGGGCGATTGCTTGACACTCCACCGATACCGGGTTCTCGTTCATGCCCAAAGCTTGATTGACTCTGTAAGCTGGACCAAACCCTAGCTCCAATGATTGGCCATTTAGGAACGATCATAAAGAATAAGAAAGTTGGATTCTATACATAACAAATCAATCTGGCACATAAGAAATGCAATTGGATTCCATCCAGCCACAGGTTCCCCCACTAAACGACCTTGTTACGACTTTACCCCAGTCGAAGATAGTATTAAGATATGAGCCAATGAGACCACCAATTAGCCTTGTGTCCCACCCCATTAGCTATTAAGCAGACTTGTTAACGTTATCGCCACCTTCCTTCACTCGCCTCTAATGGCATTGATCTCTAGCCCAGAGAAAAGATGAAAGAAGAGCCAAGGTAATGCAAAGGCGACAAAGTCATGAGGCCGATATAGATCTTAAGGTAATTGGAAATAAAAGATTACCCGCTACTTATTAGAAATCAATATTCCCAGTCTCATCTCTCTATTAGGGGGTCAACTACAGCAGTTGCTATTATGCGATTGAGCTCTTTTACCTCAGCTGTGCTATTTGGCCTCCTTTGCCCGCCCAATACTTATATCTAGTAAACGCCATTGCCAACGACCCGACGCGGTATAGAACCAAAGATTCGGGGACGGTACCTGTGGTAAAGAAGGCAAAAAGAGAAAAAAGGAGAGCTCCACCCCTATTTACCTCAGAAACGCCATTGAGTTTGTGATGCAAACATTTGGAATGGTCCTAATA